ATATATATTACATTACATTACATACATATATTAAAAAAAATAAAAACAACTTGCCATGTTCTTTAGGTGGGTTTTAAATGTTATTTTAATTTATCATAAAGATCCACAAATTTCATTCACAATTTTATATAAAAACAAGGTTCTTGATTCGCTAAACTTGTTTTTATTTAGGACCATGCTGTGACGCAGATTTTCTGGGATAAATATAATTTATTAAATGATCAAATATGAAGAATAAATAATTACATGAGCTGAAACCATCTAAATAGTATTATCTTTTTGAATAAAATAGTCTTTTAAAAAATAAATCAGTCTAACAAATAAAACATTTGAATGTTTTAAGTTATTTTGCTCTGTGTAAAAGACATATTTGCTGGTTGGACTGGAGAGTGTGGAAAGCTGGTTTAACCAAGGCTGAAGATCCAGAAGGTCAAACTACAGGAGCTGTCCATCTGAGGAACATGTTAGTCTAACCCCGGATTTATACTGCATGCGTCTCCGCTCCACTGCGCAGGTCGCAGCTGTGCATTTCAAGTCCAGTTTACACTACCTCCGCTCCGCTCCTGTCCGACAGACGTGCAGGAAGCAGATCGCGCGATAAATTCAGTGATAAATGTGGAAGTCACAGCAAAAGTAATTAATTCTGTGGAAGACAAACTCCAAACACAGCTGAAAACAACGATATAAAGGCTTTTGATATCAATGTTTAAACTGTCTCACTGTCGGCTTTCTGAAACTTATGATTTCAAAATAAAATCCATGTGTATTGTGTGTGTGAGAGCATGTTTGGTTGAAGCAGCGGGCCGGCTCGACTCGAGCTGCTGCAGCGATCAGTCACATCTCCTCATATGCTTCATGCTACATGTTTCCATCTGCTTTCCAAACAGAACGATACATTCTGACAGCATTTGTGTAGAAATATATCCGTGTATTTATTAATATAGCTGCAATTTCCGACAAATTATTCCGCCGAATAGTGTCTTATTTTGGAAATACGGATGTTGTGCTCGTGTCGTTTCCTGTTGGTGCGACGTAATCTTTAAAAATTGACTCCGGCGCTGCTCCGTCGTCCGGCAAAAATAGGATCTGTTCTAACTTTGACGGATCGCCGTCCGCTCACCGCCGCCGTGCGCAGCCAGTGTAAACACTCTCATTGATTAGAATGGGTGCGTATTTGCTGCGGAGGTCGGACCGGAGCGGAGCGGAGCCGGAACGCAAGCAATTGGGGGTAAAAGACATTTAACCATGAAATGTTCAGTTTGTGATGTTTGCATGACACACAGCCCCTCGGCCACTTAGGTAGTTTACAAAATTTATGCAGAGTAAAAGAATAAAATAAAAACTCTGTGGACTGATTTGGCATGATGTCCTGAGATGTTGCAGCTGATAGGAGTCATAAAACAGAACAGGGGGACGTTAGATGACCTGACGCCCCTATAGATAAATGTGTT